AACTTGGAGTATAGATAGAAACCATGATCTTACATGACCTGGCCAGACAAGAAATTGGCCAAAAAGTACCTTTGGGTAGAATGCAAAGTATGACCTGGGACTATGGATATGTGAGGTTGTTTAACAACTGGAGTGTTAAGCAGAGAATGCTTCTGAAGTTATTTAAGCTGAAGAAACATCATGCATGCCTCTATTCCTCATGGGTGCCTGGACTGGGTAGGATTAACTTCGTTGTCCCTTTCTTCTGGGCAGTAGTACAAAGCAGAAAACACCTTTTTTCCCTCTTGTGTCTCCATTCTCTTTGTTGCACAAATATATTTTAGCCGTGAGTTGGTTCCCAACTTCTAGGTCCAATTTCTGGCACTGGGATTCTAGTTTGAATCGTTTGGCAAAAGGGAGGTTAGGTTGTATCTGAATCTTTAGGGTTAGTGATAAAGGGTAGAATCATGATTTATAGAGAGTATTTTCAACAGATGTGCATTTTGGTATTAGGCTAGGAAATATGAGTGTATTTTATTTGGGGTCGAGGCTTTGGTCTTATTGACAGAGTTTTATTAGACAACTGCAGATTATGCCAAGAATTTTAGGAAACTGACTAAAAAGAAAGGATCCTCATAATGCCAACCTTCTGATTCTCCTATTGAAGAAGGGCTAAAATTCAAGGTCCCAGTGGCCCAACTTCTACCTTCCCTCTTTCTGTTACAATATAGTGCTGGTGGAAAATGAAGAGGCTGAGATAACTGGGATATGTCCTCTGGGGGCAGAGTGGAAAAGCACAGACTCTTGGGGTTGGAAGGGACCTCAAATCTGAGAGAAAGAAATGGAGGGGAATAAAAGAAAAGAAGAAAAAAAGAGAGGGAAACTGGGAGAGAAGGAAGGAAGACATGAAAGGAAAAGAAAGGAAGGAAGGGGAGAAGGGAAAGAGGAAGGAAGAAAGGAAGGGAAGGAGGGAGGGAGAGAGGATGGAAAGAAGAAAAAAACCCAAATGTGTAGATTTGACCATGTAACCTTGAGAATGACCACATAGCTTGAGAGCTGTATCTATATCTATATCTATATCTATATCTATATCTATATCTATATCTATATCTATCTATTTATCTACATGAACATTACCTCTGGTTTAATAAGAATTGGGTGACAGCTTCTCTTTAAACACACTTAAATGCTGGGGTTATAAATACTGGAATCTAAAGAGACTATTTGTCAGGTAAATTTGTAGTTAAGATTGTAACTAGCAATCAACCAAGTTTTGATAATACAGTAAGTATCCATGTATAGATAGCACAGCTCAGCTCTGGGCAGGTTCACATTACCCAAAACCCTTGTTTACAAGAATCCATGATGGTTTCCTTCCATAGTTGCTTTTTGCTAATTGCAGCCAAGTGTTCCCCATGTGATTTATCCCTGGTTCTCAGCTGTTGTGCCTGAACCTTACAGGCCTGTAATCAGGAGAAATCTTCTTTAAAATTCAAACACAGCAAAATTCCTTCTTTTCAGTCCAACAAGGCTGAGCACTACCAGAACACTTTCTTTTTTAAAGGACTGTATACTATTTGTCTGGAGTCTAAAAACAAAAGGAAGGGGGAGATTTTTCAGTTTGGGAGAAAAGCATCCACTGATTCAGTCAGTATAAAGTTTTGGTTTTAGGAAGCCTTGGATTCCAGTGTTGACTCTGACATACACTACTTGCATGACCATGAGGATTAACCTTTCCATTCCCCAGGGCAAATCTCTAGAACAGAAGTAACAGATGAATTGTTGACCTGTATCAGTGGAGGGAATTCTTCACACTGCTAACAACTCTGGCCCCCCAATTTTTTTTTACAAGAAGAAAAGGGAGTTAGGGTCAATAAGGTGAGGAAGGGTAGAGGGTTGGGAAAGAGGCGCTTCTCTCCACTTAGATGAAGAATGTAGAGGGAATTGGTAAGAAAAAGAATGCCCTCCTTTCCATTATTATAATTTTCATGACCAAATGGAAAAGAGAGCCAAATCTCAGAGATACTTCTATCATCCTCTCATTGGTCACATACCTGGAATGAAAACCATTCTGGGAACACATTTCTTCCAGAACGCTACCAGATCATTAACCACTGTCACCCTCCATTAGTCATGCTTGGTGTCTCTTAATCTGTCCTCTGTCCCCTTTTCAAAAATGTCACTAGAATAGCAGACACTGAAAACACACACACTGGACAAGCTGTAAGTCTCTCTATATAGAGTTTCAGAATCCTTACTTTATTAATTCTTTCACTCACAACCTGCAGATGTCTCTGGAGTAATTAGCAACAGAATAGGGTTAATGTAGTTGCCTCATGGTGATGCTGATTCATTATGACTGATTGCTCACTTACATAGATTATGCAAGTCTAATTAAGTGAAAAGCCAAAAGGATAGCATGAGACATACCACATGTAGATACCTTTCTCTCCCTCTTCATCTTCTTTCCACCATATTTCTAAAAGGTGTTGAGAACATTAGGATAAGCCTATTACCTTTTAAATGTTTTGGTTCAGTAAGACTGGGTACGTAGAGGTAAAGTTTACAGATAATAACAACTTGCTATTCCTGGGAAAGAATAAATTAGGCTGGAGACTTGGGGCTAATTTATATGTCCCTATTCCCTTTCTTACTTCAAAGAAGACCTGTGTACATCAGAATGATCGCTGTCGGCAACTGCCTTTCTCCAGGGCTTGTACTTAGAGTAAATGTGTGTCCCTATTTTTACAAAAGTCCAATGAACAAAAATATGAATCTGCAAGACAGAATAAATGAGAGCATAATTCATCCAGGAAGTCCTGTTGATTCTTCCTTTGAAATTGTTCTTTCATTTCCAATCAGTTCCTTCTTTTTCATCCCCACTGCCGCCTCCAGGCACTTTGCCTAGAATACCTTCTCATGATAACTGGTCTCCTAGCTTCTAGTCTCTCACTTGTTCAGATTTCATCTTTCTAAATCACGTTCATCATGATATTCCCTTGACTGGAAAACTCTAGTGGCTCACTATATAGGAGTATTACAGGACAAAGTCCAAACTACTTAGGCCAGAATTCAGGACTTTCTGCAATTTTGTTGTGCCCTATTATCAAAACTTAGCTTCCATTACTCCCAACATACATCCTTCACCAGCCAAGCCAGCACCTCCACTGTCCTTGGAAGATGAAATGCTTATTCCTAACTCAAAGCTGTTCCCTTCTTTTAGAATGTCCATTTTCTTCCTCTGTCAAATCCCATGCAGATTTCAAGGCCTGGGTAGAAGCCCAAGACTTCTATAATGCCTCCCATAATTATTCTAGCCCACAGCAGTTTCCTCCTCTCAATTACTAATATGCATTATGTCTATCACTCATTTAAGGATTTCATCACAATATATTCTTACTTAACTATTTCTTGTCTGCATGTTGTATCCCCATTTAACTTGAAGAAGGCAGAGGCTGTTCTGCAAAATTTTAGTGCCTATCACAGTGCAAGGCAATCTTTTTCTTTATGGTTTTTTTTTTATTCCAGACTGATGATTTCACTGGTGTGGAAAGATTTTGGCATAGAAATACCAAGGCCCATTATACTAGGGGAGGGGGAGATTTGTGAAGTTTTTTTTGTATTTAAATAATTCTGTCAATATAATTGGTTTTCTTTGCAAACCTATACATTTTATTTTATATATTTAAAAGCATTATTTTGAGAAGAGGTTCACAATCTTCACCAAACTGCCAAACGGGTCCATGACACACAAAAAGGTTAAGAACCCTTGTCAGAGTACTCCTTGGGGGCCACTGAGATGTCAGGTGACTTGCCCAAGATCACACAGTCAACAGTATCAGAGACAGGACTTAAAGCTAGGTCTTCTTCACTATGCCAACTTTGTATCTTGTATGTCGTCTCAGAAATTTACTATCACGTTGATGCTAAATATCTGATGATGAAATCAATCAACGAAATTTGGCTCACATAACTTTTGGAGAATACTGTTATTACATAAAGTGAGCTGTATAGAGTTTTGGAGTACCATTCTCCCTTCTGAATGGCATCTTGAGCAAGAAGCTGGGAGACAGATGGGCAAATGATGCTAGCTTTTCTGGTGAGGTGCTATTGGTCTAAAAAAATCAATCAATTTTTCTGCATCTCAGTTTATTCCATCTGTAGAATAAGTGAATATTGTCCTCCTCCAGCTTAATTTATCTAAAAAATTGCAGTAAGTTGCTTAGATACTATTTGTAAAAAAATGTTTTTGGCTTTTACTGACAAGGGATTATATCCACTTAAGGCAGTCTCATCAACAGTGCAAAAACAACTCTCAGAAGTCTTTTCCCCCTCACCAATTATACTCCATTCCTAGACCATAAAGTGATCTTCCTATTCATTTGTGAAGCACAGTTAATTTCTCTACATGAGAATTTTAATAATTGTAGGCACATTCATTAAGTAGCACTTAAAAATGAAAATGTAGAAAACATTTAGGTCTACATTTCAAAGCCTATTCTGTTAAAATATGTCCCCAAGCCATTTCATCGTAGCTTGCTATCTGGGATTAAAAAAAAATGGAGGAAAGATATTCTCATGATAAAACATAATATGAAAAGTAAACTAGACCTTCAGAACAAAATCTGAAGAGAAAGGTAGAAAATCTAGCCAGATTTCAGCTATTAAACAGAAAGGGAAAAAGGAATCTGTCTTATCTTTGTAAACATCCCTAAGCTAAATGGAATAAACCCAGAAAGGAAAACACTTTGGGATTTTTCCCATGAATACAAAAGCACACATCGACAGGTACAAACATGGAGAGGCTCCTTAGCTTCTTGTGGCAGACTGGTAGGTGTATGTCTGTGCACGCTGATGCACAAATCCAGACCTCGAAGCAAGGGACTGATGCACATGGAGATATCTCTACATTCTGCAGAACAATTGCCCAGGAGAGACACATTCGAATCTCAGTGTAGGACTGAACCATCCCTTGAAGGGAGGGGGTGACCCTGGGCCCTTGAGAGATAGTCTTTACTTACCCGTTAAATGGTTGGCAATCCTGGCAATGGGTTTAGGAGGCAGGGCAGGGGGCTGCTTGAGGAGGGGCAACTGTTTCACTGGGGTCTCCTCATGGTCTCCAGGGAAAGCAGCAGTTTTTTTGGGGGGAAGTAGCAGGACTGGCTTAGCTGAAGGATCTTGGGACAGGAGGGCTCCGGACTCACTGGCTGAGGGGCTTTCTTCAGACACTGGAGGGCACAACCACATTATACACACAACAACGTTACAAGCAAGGTAGCAGATACCAGCAGCAGCCAGGACAAAAAACAGCACATTATGGACACATGTTATCAACACAACCAAGAGAAGAGAACATTGAACTTCATTATACATACCTAGAAAACCAAGAAAAGAAAAACAAAGCTTTTTTGAAAGAGAGAGAGGGAGGATAATTAGAGAAAGAAGAAAAAAAGGAGCAAGAAAAAGAGAGAGAACAAAGAAGAGAATGGAAAAGAGAACGAATATTTTCATAACACCATCAAAAAAGCCTTTAGATTTCCATCTCTATACTTAGAAATTCTTTGGATGCATTACACTGGAGTCTGACATCATCATACTGGTGGATGGTATGAACTAAACAATGAGGACACTTCTCAAACCCTAAGTCATTAGAGCTGCCTGCCTTTCCCTCTGGTCTGTTGATGCTTTCAGAAGACAATAGGACAAAGTGGAACTATTACTGACTTGTTTTAGCCAATTATTCCTCTCCTCTCCTCCCTTTTGTCCTCTCCTCTCCTCTGCCGCTGTCTCCTCTCTCTCTCTCTCTCTCTCTCTCTCTCTCTCTCTCTCTCTCTCTCTCTCTCTCTCTCTCTCTCTCTCTCTCCCCTCTCCCTCTCTTCTCCTTCTCCCTCTCTTCTTCTCCTTCTCTTTTCTCCAGGGATCTAGAACAGCAGGTTATACTAATTAGAACACAGAAAGGAGACTCAGCTAGCCACGTTGCACACCTCATGCCTGTAGAAGTCATCTAGGGACACTCCTCTAGGACCACATACAGTGTTGGCTGAATGTCATACACTAAACTGGTAACTTAGATTCTCAAGAAGACCAATATGCCACCTGCTTGCTGTCTTATCATCCTAGGAAAGACAAAAGACACAAAATTTTCTCACTGGGCTAGAATTTGAATAACCATCTGCAATGAAACCTGTGGGTGAGACAAAACCCCCAGACCAGGAATTGTGGAGTGATCTTAAGTCATCTTTGGAATTACACAAGCTTCATTGCAACATTCTTCTGGCTTTTTATCACTTAGCCACAACACAAAATAATAGAAATAATTTCTTACCCCCTTTTCCTCTCTTCAAACCGAAGTGGTTTAATGTATGGTAATTAGTTTAGTGTGTCAATAGGAATACTAAATTATCTCCTTATCTTTAGACATATTATTGTCATCAATTCTGGTCACGCAGATGAAAAAGGGAATCATCAGGGTCAAAAATGAGGCACTAGAAATTCATTTTTCAAAACACACTTCTCTTTTCTCTTGCTGTATTACAGGCTCCCAAACTGCTTGAAGCTCAGTACATGATATAGAGAAAGATGCCCTTTTCAAGTATCACACACTCTAAGAGGTCCTTCTGTTTGATCTGGTCTTTTGATGGGAAACATTCCTTCACGTTTAAGAATGAGGAAGCTCTCTGGATGCTTAAGTGGATTCTGGATGTTTACCACCATTCCTAAAACCCTTTAAAAGATGGGATATTAGTACCCCAACCAACATCAGAACAAACTGAGGTTAAAAGGAAAGGATGAGATGTCCTTCAAGTTATATATTAGCAAACTAAAAACCTGAATTACCATGAGAAGTTATTTTTGGTCCACTTGGAGGTGAATAAAAGTACATTTCAATGGCAGTGAATGTGGTAAGTGTAGAAGGTAGACAAAGCATATTACAAATAGCAGGAGTCTAGAATTCATCTGCTTCAAAGTAACAGTAGAAATGATTAGGAAAACAAACCATCCCATTTAAAAATGCTAATATTGTCAAGAAAGGAAATTTATTCTTAGAGAGAAAAAGATTTTAAAAGATTAAAAAAGACCCAAATCCAAAGCATTATTGCATTAAAAAATCTATTAAGTAGAAATACTCAAAACCAATACCACTGCAAACATTAGAAATTAAATTTTTTTTGGCTCCAATATATTTATTTATTGATTGATTGATTGTGACTCATCTGCCTTTTCCAATCTTCATGCTCAGTAGTATGAATAGAAACATGAAGCAAGTCAGATTAAAGAACCCATGCACCATACTACTGAGAAACCTTCACCACCCTCATGGACTGGTTCTGATAATGACAAAGAAGGCATTACCTGTCCCATCCATGATGTCTGCGGGTTGGAGCACCTCATAAGAGCAGGGATCCCTGGGCATCGGAACTGGTTCCATTTCTGATAGGGCAGGAAGTGAAAGCTGGCTGGAGCTCAAGGACTGACCATTCTCCAGTGATCCATCTTCACTAGATATAGAAAGTTCTCCATCTAGAAATAAAGCAAAGAATTCAAAGACCATTAACAAAAAAAGAAGAAGAAGGTTTTGCTAGTAGGAAAATATGAACACTGAAGGCCTGAAAGTAGACTTCAATGCTCTTAAACAATCATTATGGAAATCAAATAGAATTCAGAAGAACACAGTGCATCACATGAAGGCTGTGTTTGGTCATTTTATCCTCCCCCCACACCCCCTCTGGGAAACAAGCAATCATGGCACAAGGGCAATGGTCCCTAATAGTTCTAGATATAGAAACTCAGACTAGTTATTTCACAATCTCTCTCTTCTCCTTTGCCCCTACCAAGTTAATATTTTGCAAATAATTATTTTAAAAGAAATTAATTCCATGCTATCTTTTGAAAAGACTGGACACCCTGGGGTGTTGCTAAATCAGTTTTGGGAGAAGGGGGCTTTTTCCCCCAAGAAACGACCATCAAGTGAGCATACATATTACTAATCAATTCATAGAAAGAATTCCTCACTTCTATTCTCCTCCCAAAAAAGAGTATTTGTCTAGCACTTTCAACGTGCTCTCAACGGCAGTAGCCCAAGGAGAACCTCTCAGTCATGTAATCCTTCTACCTAGAGAGACCAGCTGGAAACTGTACATGTCAAATCTTTATCTTGTTTAAAGTCCCCGCAGCATAAAAGGCAGCTAGTTAACACCAGAGGGTAGATCAAAGTCCATTCCACGATGGTCATTTATAACATCAAAATTCTCCCAGTGTGAATTAATCCTGGCCCAGAGGAGTACTACACAACCAGACATAAAATTCAAATTAATTTTTAAAGAGTCCTGAAAGCTGTTCTAGTCAGATGATTACACAAATGAAAAGCCTCTAACTGAGGCCTAGGTTAGAAGTTAGTCATGCAGTTATGACTATGGAAATGGAGGGGTGAGGGTAGGATTAAATGATGGCTTATCTGTAGAAGAGCACCACTATAATTTTAACATTAATATCACCTTATTGACAATTTCCTTTTGCTCTGTTTTTCCCAATATCATTCATTAAATATGCTGCCAATGATAAATGGTAGCTGATAATAATAATGATAGCTAATATTTATATATTAAATATATTATGATAAATATAACATAGTTTATATTTATATACATTTATAAAAGGGGGAAGCTAGGTGGCACAGTAGATAGAGTGTCGGACCTGGAGAGAGGAAGACTCATCTTCCTGAGTTCAAATCCGGCCTCAGACATTTACTAGCTGCATGACCCTGGGCAAGTTACTTCACCCTGTTTGCCTCAGTTTCCTCATTCGTATAATGAGCTGGAGAAGGAAATGGCAAACCACTTCAGTATCTTTGCCAAGAAAACTCCAAGTAAGGTCATGAAGAGTCAGATATAACTGAAATGACTCAACAATAATACTTTTATATAAATGTATTATGTGATACATTTATGGTATATATTAAGTGCTATAGCACTTGAAGGTTTAAAAAGCATTTTTCATACATTATCTCATTTTATCCTCCCAACAACCTGTGAGTAGGTACTATTATTATCCCCCATTTTACAGAGGAGAAAACTGAGGCTAAACGAGGTTAAGAGACTTGTTCAAATTCATATAGCTGGTAAATGTCTGAGGCAGAATGTTAATCTAAGTTTTCCTGAATTCAAGTCCACCACTCTGATCACTCTACCACCTAGCTGCCACAGTAGCAAAGAAGTTATTGCCTGATTTGAATTATCTTCCTTCAATTCAATTTTTAAAAAAAAAAATTCACTAAGGGTCTACTATGTGCAAGGCAGTGGGGATTAAAAAAAAAAAGAAATTAGTCTTCCTATAGACTTTCAGTGGATTTATAATGAATGAGGGTAAAGCAATGGAAACAAATGTCATGGAGGAAGATAGGGTGTGCGGCCTAGTCCCTTTGTGAGCATGTGCAGATATAATCTGCATCTGCTAATATAATCTCCACGTGAGTTTCCCAGCCTGCCCAGGTGCTGCTTCTGGTCTGCTTGCTGCATGAAGAATTGGAGCTTTCTGAATGGCTGCTGAGCCAGATTTGAGGACGCACTCAAAAGGCATTGAACAGGCCAAGGCATTTTCTTTTCTCTGCCAGGCTATTTGAGAGTGAGGGGTAAGTCTCTGGTTGCAGGGAGGGGCCTCAAGCCTTTGCTTCCTCACCCGGGCCCTGACTTGTGGCCCAGGACCTCAGGGCTAAGTTATTGCTTCTATTTCTGTTCTCTTTCTTGTGCTTACCAGTAGTCTGCGTCCTTGTGAACTTTGAAAGATAAGACAGTGAACCACCCAAGGTCAGGGAATCAGTCCAGTCCTGAGTTTTTGGTCAATAGTACAGCCCTGAAGAGGGACCTATGGGACCCACCCCAGCAGTAGTTTTACTCTGCAGCCAACATGCCAGGTCCTTCAAGAGGAAGTGACCCACGAATTGGGAAGTGAACTTTGTGGGGCAGATGCTTTGTGGTTATTCAGTCATTTTTCAATGGTGTATGACTCTTCATGACCCCATCTGGGGTTATCTTGACAAAGGTACTGGAATAGTTTGCCATTTCCTTCTCCAGCTCATTTTACAGATGAAGAAACTGAGGCAAACAGGTTTAGGTGATTTGGCCAAGGTCACATAGCCAATAAAGCATTTAAGACTGGATTTGAATTCAGGTTTTCCTGACACCAAATTTAGCACTCTCTCCACTGCTTTGTATGAGCAATGTTTTACGTTTGAGTCCCCAGGAGATGGAGTGGTACGGGGAGAGTATATCCCCAGGTTTGGGGGCAAATGTTTATAATTATGGTCTTACTAGATCTCCTCGGTAAATATTCCTTTGTAAAAGCTAATAGATGTTGATTGATTAAATGATACTGGGCTGCTAATCACTGCAGCCACTTAATCACTTAATGACATAAGAGAGATAACTATTATTGACAATTAACATTGGGGAGAGCTCACTGAAATGTGAACTGAAGTCAATGGCATTAAAGAGAATCAATCTGAACCCTTAGGGGTCCTGCTAGAACCCTGAAGGGGGGAGATGTAGCCTTGTTCTGGGGGACCTGACTCATTAACGTGAGTGTGTATGAGTTGGAATAAAGATCCTCAGAGCCTTATAATTTATTGTTTATTCATTTTCAGTTGTGTCCAACACTTCATGACCCTTTTCCTGAATTTTCTTGGTAAAGATACTGGAGTGGTTTAAATTGAGGCAAACAGGGTTAGGTGACTTGTCCAGGGTCACAGAGCTAGTAAGTGTCTGAGATCAGATTCAAACTCAGGTCTTCCTGACTCCAGACCTGGTATTCTATCCACTGTGCCACCTAGCTGCTCCCAAGAACTTTATAAAGCCTGCACAAATAATGATGGCACAAAGGAGAGTGAAATAGAAGTGAATCCAAAACATTAGGAAGACAACAGTCCATTGAGGGCTATATGCTATTTGACTTAAATCTAATGGAGACACAAATAGCTACAAAATGGGTGGTGCCCTGCTAGCAAGAAGTATCCAGGATATTTGACGGCTGGGATAAAAACAAAGGAGCATGGACATTTTTGATGCTCTTCCCCTTGAACACTGTATTAGTGGCATACCTAGCCCTGAACAATGGAGGGTCAATGTGGAAGGCAGTGTGGCCAAATAAGAGTGGAAAGTCATATGGTCAATCAATCAATCAATAAGCCTTTATTAAGTACCTTCTCCGAGCTAGGCACTGCGCCAAGAGCTGAGAGTATAATGACAATAAACGAAATAATCCCTACTTACAAGGTGGTTATCTTCTAATGGAATGATGAGATGCTATATTGCAAAATAAAGTCAGGGATATCAGTGGTGATGGACTAGTAACTACAGTAACGTGCAAAATGTAAAAACAATTTCCATGAAAAGCAGCTTAGTTTAAGTTTAGACTCTAGTTATTCGGCTGATTGGTGCAGCTGCCACTTCCTTTACTCCATACACCTACATTAAACTACTTTTAATTTTAGCACCAACAATGCTCAGAAGCTCTACTAATTATACTTTCCATTACCTACTACAATATGTATATGTCTACAGATATATACTATGTATAACATATGTGTGTGTGTTTACACATGCACACAGATACACACACCTTACTGGATTGTTTGTTGAATGTTCAAGTGAAATATTCCTGTCCAAATTTATTTTTCAATCATGATTGGTCCTAGAACTTACTAAGATTAACTGAGAATTCTTCTTCTTGATTACATCACATACACAGGTCGTGAATTAATTTGAATTTTTGCCTTTCTTTAGAGACTCAGAATACAGACAACTATACCCAGTTGAAAGCAGCTAGGTGGTGCAATGGATAGAGTGCCAGAGCTGGAGTCAGGAACACTCCTTTTCATGAAATCCAATCTGGCCTCAGACACTTACTAGCTGTGTGACCCTGGGCAAGTTACTTCATGGTGTTTGCCTCAGTTTCCTCATCTGTAAAATGAGACGGAGAAGAAAATGGCAAAGCACTCCAGTATCTTTGTCAAGAAAACCCCAAATGGGGTCATGAAGAGTTAGACACAACTGAAAATGATCCAACAACAACAGCAACAACAAATACCCAACTGAACAGCTCTTAGAGGGAATAGCTAGTGATGGTCAGCCCCAGGTGCCATTTCTCTGTTTTTGAGTTTGATCTTGAAGAAATCATAGAATTCATCTAATCCAACCATGCCATATTATAAATGAGAAAACTGAGGCCCAGAATGCTATTTGAGGCCTATGAGCCACAAGATCCAGACTTTACAGGGTAAGGAGCAATTTTAACCCTAAGGACTCCTCCATCTAGGAAAGATCCTGCTAGAAAAAGGCTCCTCAGGTCAGCCAGAAAAAGGTCAAGATAAAACAGAGAACAGCTCTTACCGGCCCAGGGAGGGGAGATCTTTGGAGAGGTAACATCTATAATCTAGGCAGAGATAGCTCTGACCTCCAAAACCGGAAAAGTGACTGTCACTGGAAGTTGGAGATTGGGGTAGGAGAGTAGATTCTTTCTCTGACCAT